GTTGTAAAGGTTAACGTTTCTGCCCGTAGCAGTGGTTCTTGGTTTTGGTGTTTCGCTTGAGTTCTTGTTCTGCTTGCTCTAGCTTTGTGCTTGTGGTGTCTTCGCTCTGATCTGGTCGGTATCTTCTTTGGTAGAGGCGTATATAAAACTATTTCTCTTCGCCTCGGATGTGGAGTCTTCACCATCGTTGCTTTTCCCCTCCCTGCAATCTATTGTTTCTGACATGGTCTTTTCTGGTTTTGATTCGTCTGTGACGCCTCGGCTGGTTCTGCTATGTCGGAACAGTGTATGAAGGTTAGGTTACAACGCATCTGTTTTATTATTGGGGTAAGGAGGGTAATACATCTTTATCCGTTTGGTGATTCGTCTCATCCCAGATTTGTTCTATTCTTAATTGGATTGAGCTTAAACTTGTTTCGCTAGAATCTCATTCTCTAACTATGTTTCTCCGTGTTTGCTATCTTGTTGGTTTAGTATTATCTTTCATGTATTTGTTAGCTTGTTTCATCTTTTGGACGTCGTTCTCGTCTTGTGAGTTTGTGTTCTATCATGTGTAATTGTCATTGTTGAATGGTTTTCACTATCTTTAAATGACAAAAAAAAATAAGCGAATTTGTTAGAAGATCAAATTCAAACCAAAATAAAAAAATGTTGAATCAAACCAGAACCATTATAATGAGTCTCAAAATTCCGTACATACAAAATAAATTCACATCAACCGCCGTCGGAAACCCGTTATTATTATTTTCTTGACACATTTCCAAAGGAGTTTCTCCAGCATTTGACAGTGGAACAAAGGCATATTGTTAGTAGTGCATAACAAAAACCAATCGATGACATGTACAGCCTCCGTTTCACATGCACAAAATACCAACATTTCACACACCAAATCTTTAAATTAATATAGTTTCGAAGATCCTCAATAAGGAAAGAAGTGTTATATGAGAATAATAAGAGTTGTATGACTGAATTATTGTAAAATTAAAATAACAAAAAAGAAAGAAAAGGCACATGCACAGTAGAGTCCACATGACCCAAATGGATCTTAAGATTGCAAATCAGATTTCAGACTTGTTTCTCTTCCCACATATTATTAGCACCGTTCAATTCATATTTTGTTGGTCCACACTCACACATCACTTTTATTGTTATTATTTATTATTCAACCCATTTAATAGAAAACTTTTATACCATGGTTATCCTCGTAATTTCATATCCCACGTATTTCTTCTTTTGTTACTTTATTTTCTCTTTAGTTTTTAATTGAAATAATTAAACCGGGAAAATGAAAGAAAAAGAC